CTGAGAAATGACTGAATAAATGATGGGACATATACACCCTGGGACATGACACAGCCTTTAAAAATGGATTAGAGCTTCAGCAGAAGGTGTGGGGAAAAGAAGGCTCCAAAAATTATGTACAATGGAATCCATCTTCTGTAAAAGAGAAACTCCCAAATATGGACCTGCAGATACATACAGATGCTTTATATTGGTGTAGCGAAAATAGAGAAGAAAATACCCCAGGGTATTAACGTGGGTTATTCTGGGGGAGTTACTGATACAAGAGGTAGGAGAATGAAGTCAGCAAAAAAGGAAAAGAAAAAAGTGGGAGCTGCACTTTAGCAAGGATGACTATGAGGCACACTTCTGCATTTATATGAAATAGGAGGGGTATGTATGAGGTGAGCATATGCATAAAGGAATTAAACATTTCAAAACCGTGATAATCTTGAAGCCCATGTAACATCGAGGAAAGTGTTTGTGTCAAAAGACAAAAGCAGGGCCTTCCCTGGTGGCGCAGTGGTTGAGAGTCCGCCTGCTAATGCAGGGGACACGGGTTCATGCCCCGGTCTGGGAAGATCCCACATGCCGCGGAGCGGCTGGGCCCGTGAGCCACGGCCGCTGAGCCTGTGCGTCCGGAGGCTGTGCTCCGCAATGGGAGAGGCCACAACAGTGAGAGGCCCGCGTACCACAAAAAAAAAAAAAAAAAAAAAAGACAAAAGCAGGATTCTGAAGTTAACCCACATGGAGGACACACCTGACTCCAGCAAAGGAGCTGCTAAGCTGGGGTTGTCCCCACGTGATGGAGACCACAATGCCCTTGGAGTCCACAGGTCGCCTTACCATCTCGGCCTGAACTGCACCCCAGGATCGGGAGCCCCAGAGGAGACAGCAGACCTTGGGGACTCAGAAGCCACAGTGGAAAATCAGTGTCTGTTTTTTTTTTTTTAAACAGCTTTATTGAGCTATAATTGACATATAATAACTTGCACATATTCAAAGTATACATTTTGGTAAGTCTGACAGAGTATACATCTGTGAAACCATCACCACAGACAGTGCACATATCCACCATCCCCCAAAGTTTCCTCACACTCCTTTATATCCCCTGACTCCTCCCAAATACCCTCCTCGCCAATCCTGCTGTCCTCAGGCAAACTGTGATCTACTTTCTGTTGCTACCGATTAGTTTGCATTTTCCAGAGTTTTATATAAATGGAATCTGCTATAGAATGGAGGTTTTTGTTCCCTCAAAATTCACATGTTGAACTCCTAACCTCTAAAGTAAGGAGGGGAGGGCGTTTGGGAGGTGATTAAGTCATGAGGGCACAGCCCTCACGAATGGGATCAGTGTCCTTATAAAAGAGACTACGGAGAGCTCCCTTGCCATGCCCATCATGTGAGGACACACAGCAAAAAGACAGCTGTTTGTGAACCAGGAAGCAGGACCTCACTAGACAGTGAATCTGCTGGTCCCTTGATCTTGGACTTCCCATCCTCCAGAACTGTGAGAAATAAATTTCTGTTGCTTATAAGCCACCTAGTCTTCGGTATTTTGTTACAGCAGCCTGAACAGACCAAGACAGAGCATACAGCATATACTCCTTTTTTGTCTGGCTCTTTCACTAAGCATCATTATTTTGAGATTCATTCATGTTGTATCAATATATCAGTCATTCCTTTTATTGCCAAGTATGGATGTATCACAATTTGTTACCTGTTTTATCTATTTTCTCTACCACTTATTGAGTGGCCTTGAGTAGGTCTCCTCCCCCACTCTCAGCCTTTATTTGCACATCTATAAAATGGGGATAGCCCTGCTAGCTCTTCAACCAGGCTGTTGGGAGGATCTGACAAGACTTGATATGCAATGCTCTATAAAGAACCAAGGAGAGACTTCCCTGGTGGCACAGTGGTTGAGAATCCGCCTGCCAGGGCCGGGGACACGGGTTCGAGCCCTGGTCCGGGAGGATCCCACGTGCCACGGAGCAACTAAGTCTGTGCACCACAACTACTGAGCCTGCACTCTAGAGCCTGCAAGCCACAACTACTGAAGTCTGCACACATAGAGCCCGTGCTCCAGAACAAGAGAAGCCCCCACTTGCCGCAACTAGAGAAAGCCCGTGCACAGCAACAAAGACCCAATGCAGTCAAAAACAAATACATTAAAAAAAAAAGAACCAAGGAGTGCTCTGTTTGGGATGGAGGGGGCCACACCTCTTATCTGCTAAGGCAACTGTGTCTGAACTTCTCCCCAAACCATCCCAAGAAGAGAACAGGCCCTGAAGCCCTGGAGAGCCACTGGAGGGGTATGAACAGGAGAGTGACACAATTTTGGTTTACAACTTTACAATTTCACTCTGGCTGCTCTGCTGCCTATAGACTGCAAAGTGCACAAGGGTGGAAGTGGGGGCACAAGGGTGGAAGCAGGGACACCACTTAGGAGGCCACTGTAGTGATCCAGGTTCTAAGGGATATGCTGACAGTGTGGACTAGGATGGAAGTAGAGGATAGAACTGGATTGGAAATAGAGTCAACAGAACTAGGTCATGGCTTAGCTGATGGAGATGATGATGATGAGTAACTTTCATCCCTTCCTCCCTCTAAAACCCAGCACTGGGTTCCTGACTAAACCACTGGGAAGATGAGAGATACACTATAAGGATGGGGAAAACTAAGGGCTGACCAGGTTTGAGGTTCCACTTTGGACATGGTCATACTGGGACATATTCAAGTGCATATGCATATGTGAATCTGTGCTGGCCCAGAGATAAGACTCCAGATGCCTTCCTCACATATGGAAAGGGCAGTATCAGCTAGGGAGGGCTCACTCTGAGCTCTGAGGCCTCTTTATATTTGGAAGTTAGAAAGAGGTGGAAGTGGGAAGTACCGGAGTGGAGAGAAGAGATGATCATGATCTCTGAGACAAGAAGAGGTGAGCGTCTCCAGACAAGGGAGAGAGGGAAAGTGAGGGGCTTGTAAGGGCACAGACCAGGCCCACTCTGGTAATATCAATCTCTGTTAATGGTGCAAGAATATCCCTAACCACAAGAATCCAACCTTCTAAGAGAAGTGGGTACCCACCCTCAGGAGGCCCCCAGGCAAGTGAAAAAACTGAATAAGAAATTTAAAATCATCCTTCAAATAACAGGCCCAGATGGCTTCACTGGTGAATTGTATCAAATATTTTAAAAAATAATACTAATTCTTCACAAACTCTTAGAGAAATAAGTAGGAAACACTTCACTCATTCTTTAAGGCCAGTATCAAAGGCCAAAGACATCACAAGAAAAGAGAACTACAGAAAATAGCTCTCTAGTGAACACAGATGCAGAAACTACTCCTAAAAAATCAGCAAACCATCCAGCAACATAAAAAGGATTACACACCATTACTAAGTGAGATTTATCGCAGGAATTCAATGTTGGGTCAACATCTTGAAAATCAATTAATATTATATACATATTAACAGCTTAAAGGACAAAAACCACATGATGATCTCAATAGGTACAGGAAAAGCATTTGATAAAACCTAACACCCATTCATGACAAAAACTTCTTCAGGGTTTCCCTGGTGGCGCGGTGGTTGAGAGTCCGCCTGCCGATGCAGGGGACACGGGTTCGTGCCCTGGTTTGGGAAGATCCCACATGCCGCGGAGCGGCTGGGCCCATGAGCCATGGCTGCTGAGCCTGCGCATCTGGAGCCTGTGCTCCGCAACGGGAGAGGCCACAACAGTGAGAGGCCCGCGTACCGCAAACAAACAAACAAACAAACAAAACTTCTTCAACTTGAAAAAAGACATTGATAAAAAATCCACAGCTTAACATATTTAACGGTGAAGGACTAAATGTTTAATGTTTTCCTCCCTCAGACTGAGAACAAGGCAAGAATGTCCACTTGTGCAACTTCTACACAACATTGTACTGGAGGTTCTTTTTTTTTTGGCCAGGCCACGCAGCTTTCAGGATCTCAGTTCTGCAACCAGGGATTGAACCTGGGCCACAGCAAGTCCTAACCACTAGGTCACCAAGGAACTCCCTGTACTGGAGATTCTAGCCAGTGCAACAAAGCAGGAAAAAATTAAAGGCTTCCAGATTGGAAAGAAAAAAAGTGAAACTGTCTTTATTCACAGATGACATATCATGCGTGTAGAAAATCCCAAGGAATACACATATACAATTTTTTTTTTTTTTTTTTTTTGTGGTACGCGGGCCTCTCACTGCTGTGGCCTCTTCCGTGCGGAGCACAGGCTCCAGACGCGCAGGCCCAGCGGCCATGGCCCATGGGCCCAGCCGCTCCGTGGCATGTGGGATCCTCCCAGACCGGGGCACGAACCCGTGTCCCCTGCATCGGCAGGCGGACTCTCAGCCACTGCACCACCAGGGAAGCCCTACAATTTTTGTTTTTAAAAGATAAAATCTAATAGGGAGTTCCCTGGGAGTCTAGTGGTTAGGTTTCGGCACTTTCACTGCTATGGCCCGGGTTCAATCCCTGGTTGGGGAACATCCCTCAAGCCACGTGGCACAGCCAAAAAAAAAAAAGAAAAGAAAAACTAATAGATAAGTTTAGCAAGGTCACAGGATATAAGATCAATATACAAAAAAACAACGGTATTTCTATATACTAGCACCAAAAAAAACCCCAAATTAAAATTAAGCAAGCACTTCCATCCACAACAGCATAAAAACAAAAATACTTAGGATCAATTTAACAGAAGGAAGTACAACACTCATACAACAAAAATGGCAAAATATTGCTAAGAGAAACAGAGGAAGATCTAAACAAATGACATCCCATGTTCATGGATTGGAAGACTTTGTATTGTCAGTATGGTAATTCTCCCCAAATGAACTATAAATTCAACACAATATCTATTAAAAACCCAGAAAACTTTCTGTAGAAATTGACAAGCTGACCTATAAAAGCTATATGGGAATGCAAAGTACCTAAAATATTCAACAGAATTTTTAAAAAGAACAAAGTTGGAGAACTTACATTATCTAATTTTAAGACTTACTTTAAAGCTGGAAAACTCAGTAGCATACAATCAGTGTGGTATTGGCTCATGGACAGGCATAGAGATCGATGAAACAGAATTGAGAGTCTAGAAGTAGAAGTAAACACTTATATTTATGGTTAACTGATTTCAACAAAGGTACCAAAGCAATTCAATGGAGGAAGAGATAGCCTTTACAACAAATGTGCTGGGACAAATGGATATCCACGCACAAAAAAAGATGAATTCTAAAATTAACTCAAATGGATTATACACCTACACAAGAGCTAAAATTATAAAACTTCTAGAAGAATTTCTTCATGACCTTGGGTTGGGCAAAAGCTCTTAAGATACGACACCAAAAGCACAATCCATAAAAGAAATAACTGATAAAACTAAACTTAATCAAAATTAAAAACTTCTACAACATTATTAAGACACTATTAGGAAAATAAAAAGACAAGCCACAGACTGGGAGAAAATATTTGCAAATCATTTATCTGATAAAGAATTTGTATCCAGAATATGTGAAGAATTCTTTAACTCAATAAGACATATGACCCAATTTAAAAATGGGGAAGTTTTCAGTAGATATTTTACTACAGATAGACAAATGGCTAACAAGAACATGAAAAGATGCTCAAAAAGCATTAGTTGTTAGAGAAATGCAAATTGTCAGTTTCTTAAAAGGTTAAACATAAACTTACCGTACGTATGACCCAGCAATTCCATTCCTAGGAATATATTCGAGGAATGAAAATATATGTCACACAAAAACTTGTACATGATAGCAGTACTATTCATAAAAGCCCTAAACTGGAAACAATCTAAATATTCATCAACTGATTAAAAAAAAAGGATAAATAAAATGTGGTATATCCATACAGTGGAATACTATTCAGGAACAATAAAATAAAAAGAACAAACTACTGATATATTCTATGACATGAATGAATTTCAGAAACATTATTCTAAGGAAAGAAGCCAGACACAGAAGACCACATATTGTATGATTCCATTTATATGAAACATCTAGAACAGGGAAATCTATAGAGACAGAAAGCAAAATGGTGGTTGCCCAAGGACAGGGGTGAGAATGGGGACTGTGTATGGGCACGAGGAAACTTTATGGATTGATGAAAATAGTATAAAATGGGGTAGTGGTAATGGTTGCACAACTCTGCACATTTACTACAAACTACTGAACTGCACTTACAATGAGTGAATGTTAAGGTATGTAAATTATACCTCAATAAAATTGTAAAAAAAAAAAAAACAACAGTGATGCAAAACAAAGGGAAACTAGGAAGCATGATTAGGTGAACTCTGAATCTGGCTATACCTGACCTCAAGTTCGTCAAGAAACATAATGGTTGTGTCTCTTCCATGTGTCTGGTGTTGGTGCACAATAGTGGAGACTCTTAAGGAGCTCACCATCTAGTGGGTGAGACAGGCAAACAGGCCACTGCCCTGCCGGGATACAGTCAGGGACAAGCATGGAGGAGAAGTACTAGGCTGACCAGAGATGCCAGACCACAGCAGCCTTCTATGCCATGCTAGGTAGTTTGGGTTTTTATCCTGAACTGCAAACCTAGAAAAAGAGAATTAAATAGGGAACTGAGCTCCGTTAGAGGAAAACATCTGTGTATCACTAGAGATGAAATAGGAAACAGTAAGCCTGGGATAATTTCTGTAAGAACTGTGAGATTCCCTTGCCATTTTTCCATTGGGTAATGTTATGTTATTGTGAGCAGCAGTAAAAACCAGTACTGTTGATCTTTGGGGTGAAGAGGAGTGGGCTCTGCTGCTAGTTGGGAAAGCAGAGTTCAAAGAACATGGAAAGAAATGGAAAGTCAAGCAGATGAGTCTAGCTAAAGTTCACTGGTCCACTCTCTACCCATGAGCTCTTTGGTTCTGAGCAAAGGGGTGTAGGTTCATGGAAAGGGCTGTTAATACTTTAGAGGCATTTGACCTTTCTCCCACAGTAGAGTCCACAGATAATCTGGTTTCCTCTTTTTCAACACAAAGGTACCTGTTTCCATAATCCAAACAGGGTTCTTCTTTCTCTCGCTGCTCAGTCTGCTTCTCGAAGGCCATCACAGTACTGGGCAGCAGACCTCCACACTCGGGGCATGGAGGCTGGATGAATCAGCTGCTCCAGAGGACGAAGACACTGCTTTCCTCAGGTGAACTGGACTGTGAATGTGGAGATCTGGTCTCAATTCTTGACGATACTACCAATTAGTTGATGAATCAGGTCAGTTACTCAGCCCTTCTGAGAAAATTTATGTTAAAATGAGCTATGTCACCTATTGCACAGAGGTTACTAAGAGGACCAAGTGAGAATCAACAATGTTTATATGTGAAACATGCTGAGGGGGTGTATGTGGGAGTGACATACCCTTCCAAAAACGTTTTTAAAAAGTTATCATCCAGGGCTTCCCTGGTGGCGCAGGGGATAAGAATCTGCCTGCCAATGCAGCGGACACTGGTTCGATCCCTGGTCTGGGAACATCCCACATGCCGCGGAGCAACTAAGCCTGTGAGCCACAACTACTGAGTCTGCGCTCTAGAGCCCGTGTGCCACAACTAACTGAAGCCCGTGTGCCTACAGCCCATGCTCCACAACAAAAGAAGCCACCGCAACGCGAAGCCCGCGCACTGCAACGAAGAGTAGCCCCGGCTCGCCGCAACTAGAGAAAGGCCATGTGCAGTGACGAAGACCCAACACAGCCACACACACACAAAAAGTTGTCATCCAAGAGTACAACCATTACCCACTGGATGAGGCTGACCATAAACTGACTTTTGGAAAAGTGTGCATGAAGAGCTTCCTAAAATCCACCACCACAGTAACCAGGATGCAGTCTTAGGAAGGCAGATCTGGAAGAGGGAACTAAACACTGGAGTCTGGTTCTCACACTGGGATGAGCATACCAACCATGGTGGAAACTTGCCTGCACAAGGGCCTGAGCTGCACCCCAGCCCTAGGGAATTGGTCTCTGGGGAGGGTTCTACAAGTCAATCTGTGGTTTAAAAAATTTCCAGTGACTTTTATGTGCACCAAAGCTAAGCACCTCTGGCTTGGAGGTATAAAAAAGGAGCTGGGGGTTTTGGCTCCAGGTAGTCACAGGCAGTCACATTCCACTTAGGAACTCTAGGAGCTTTATGGCAGGGAGTGAAGAAAGGGGGAAATCCAAGAGAAGTGGTGATCCGGACAGGAGCAAATATGCAACACGCTCAGGAAGTCTTTTGCATATATTTTTCATCAGAACCCATTCTTATAAAATATACACGTCTCTCCAAAGACTACTTTTGCCATGCTGTTGGGCTTTTTCCTTATTTCACAGAAATATTTTCACTTTGTCCAATATTTTTTCACTGAATTACGATAAAAATATGATTTACCTCTAATTAAAAAAAAATAAAATCAGGAAAGGGCAAGAAGATATTAGGAGTGTACTCTTTATTTCTCTTTGGTTTCTTAACACAAAAGACATGCGTTCTATAAATAAAAGGAATTAAGATTTTTCTGGGAAACAATAAATTGGGGGGAGGGGGAATCGGAATTCCTACCTACTCACATCTCTGTGGCCAAGTCAAAAGGCTGGACTTCAGCTCCCATCCTGGCTTTGCTCTCGGATGAAACCCAGAAGAGAAGGTTCCTTGTGTTATCTAAGGGGAAATACCCTAGGACAGCGAATGCCACAGTCCTCTGCTCAGAGCTGGGCTGGACCCCAAGGTTCACTGTCCACGGTATCTGCCCTATACCCTTTTCACAATACCTATGGGTGGCATCTCTTCTTTTCATGGTTTTACTGGAAAGGCTCCAACATCAAAGGGTCAGACCAGCCACCTGTAAACAGTCATCACCGTCAGACTGAGGAACCAACTGTGGAGAGTGTGAAAATGTTAGTGTTTGCTCACTTGTGCTCAGAGCCCAGATCAAGGCACTGGCTTCACCTTACTTGGAAACACTGACCCCAGGTGAAGCAGTGTAACTTCTACACCAGGAGGTGGGAGTAGATGTAGGAAGGCTATCACAAGAGCAGCAGATCATGGGAAAATGATCTCTCAACCCCAATGGCAAAATCTGGGTCAGCATCCTAAGGACCTGGTGAGGTCCACTGGTTGATTCTTAACACATTCACAACCCAGGTTTGTCAGTGCTGTTGCAAATTCACAAAAGAAAGGGGCTTATAATAAGAAGACAAGCACTGATAACTCCTCTCTAACAGGAATAACAGACCCCACCCTCCTTCCAAGTCTACCTCTAACAGGCAAACCGACAGGGAGCGAGAAATGCCAGAGCTCTACCACAAGCCCAGGCTCAACTATATTAGATTGTTAAGTCTTTTAAAATAAAAACATCATTTTCAAGTGCTTTTAGCAGAGGCCCAGCTCCTAAGTGGCAGGTAACAAAGGTACTTCCCTCTGGAAACATGGCGATTGCACACACTGGTAAACCTCACAGTCCCAGGGTAGAAGAGACGTCTCAGGTGTCACATGGTGCCTTTCTGAACAGGCTTCCAGGACACCCAGGCAGGCAGCGATGGGCAGACCAACCAAGTAGAGATTGGGACCCTGAGACCCAATCTTGCATTGGAAATGTATCCTCTTTTAGTCTCTACTGGAAGAATTTTGGAAAACCAAATTTTGGCAGCAGCAGTTGAAGGACAGCTCCACTGCCCAGTGCACTGGTAAGAGAAGAGTCCTCCTGTTGGGGTCCCACTGTGCAGCATCAAGGTCCCATCCAGGGAGGAGGAAGGAGGAGCATGGAGTCTCTTCAAGAGGTCATTAGCTAAGATCATAGGAAGAAATATAAAATCTGTTCTTTGCAGCAGCAAGAGATTCTTTCAGCTTTTAGTTCTTTACGTCATAAAGCCAGCTTTGCTAGAATATAAAGGTCCACCTTGCTGGTCAGTCTGCCAAGGGCTGGAGGGGAGACCAGACCCCTGGAATTGGCGAGTGGATGGAGGAGCAGCGGACTGGCAGGGTAGATATGGTTACTGGATCAAGCCAGCCGTGGCTGGTGGAAGGACCAAGTCTCTGGTTAGGTTCTAGAGGTACAAATGGTCAATGTACCTCAGAAGCATCACGATGAAGAAAACTATCCAAGAATGATAGATGGGCAAATGAGAATCTGGCCAGACGTGCTGTTTCCTGCTGGTCAAATAAGGAAGGAATGAAAGTGGGGTGGGAATCTGCATGAGTGCCATGGTGGCAGTGGGAGATAACCACAGGGGCATCTGGAGCCTCCAGCGACAAGCTAGGAGCTCCCACCTAGAAGAGTGGCAATAACTTAGCCAACTCGCTAAGCCTACGATTAAAAAAGTCCTCTGATAGTGGGTGTGAAGACAAACCCCACGAGCACCTTGCTACAGGACTGGTCGAGTGCGCACTGATTCTGGACACACAGGGGCTCAGAGGGAACCCCGAGTGCCATGCGAGGCCTTAGGACCCTGGGATCCGAATGTGGGAGCGGATACCACCCTTTTCACGTTGGGTGGTTTTCCATTTAAACACATATTTGCCTCTAGTGTCTTTTATGTTTTCTTCTTGCAAAAAAATGTTCACTTTAAAAAATTATTTTTCTTTTCAGTTTCTTTCAAGTGTTTCTTTAACTTTCCTTCAGTTTCTTTCAAGTATCTTTTATCCTCTCCCTCTGTTTCTCCTGAACAAGATGAAAAAGACCTCGCTGAAATCCCAAAATTAGACACAGGAAAAGCTTCTGTTCTTCGTGCTTACTCAGCAATGCAGACAAAATTCTCGGTGCGCTCGGATGGAAGGAGGAGGTGCGTGTGTGCAACCAGCACTGCCATGGCTGCAGCCTCGCAGTGAGGACAACCCGGCCTGTGTCCCTCCTCTCCCACCCACACCCCACAGTTTCCAACACGCTTGGCCACTGAAGCCACCCCATCGCAAACTGGCCACAACACACCTGGCAAGCAGTAGGCAAGGAGTGTCAGATGGAAGACACTCTGCAGATGGGCGACCCACAGAGCTGTGGCAGGTGGGAGCTGGGCTTGGATGGAGCCTGTGGACATGTGGACCAGCAAAGCAGTCCTGTGTCACCAGCTGCGGGACCCAGAGGGGCTTCTGTCCCACGCTGTGCATCTTGATGACCTAGGCCTGAAGGTCACAGGGCTGCACAGGGAGGGAGGACTTAAGCACCTGGAAAACTGTACCTCTGGCGAGCTCACATTTCACCCTGTCTTCTGGTCCACCACCTCTTCCGAGGGGGACTAACCCTGGAAGGAAGTGCCTGTGTTTGTACCAGATCCCTACTCCACCACATCCCACCCTTCGCCTTAGATGGTGAGGAGAGGGATGCAGCCCACACCGACCCCCCCCTCGTGACATGCCATGGGGGCCATAAACGTCCAGCGGTCCGTGTCTGGGTCGTACATCTCCACCGAGCTCAGGTTCGACTGTCCGTCGTAGCCCCCCACGGCGTAGAGCCGCCCACAGCTGGCCACCAGGGAGACCCGGCTCCGGCGTGTGTGCATGGGGACTATCAGGCACCACTGGTCCGCCACAGAGCTGTACACCTCGGCGCTGCTGAGGAAGCCCGAGCCGTCGTAGCCCCCGCACACAAACATCTTGCTTCCCAGGGATGCAGCTCCGTGCCGGCAGCGCTTGTTGAGCATGCCGGCCGCCGGGTGCCAGGTGGCTGTGTGGTGGTTGTAGTGCTCCACCTGCAGCGGGGAGACAGGTGCAGGTTCAGTCAAAGCCAAAGCTTGGTCACCGGTGGCCCACCTGGCATCAGGCCCCAGGGGGAGGCCTGGGGACAAGGAGCTCTGCCAGTGTGTGCTCTGCCCCGGATGCCCAGTTTCCTCAGCTGCGCACCTGCTCGTGGGCTTATAGGGACAGGTGAGAGAGAGATGGCCTAACCTGACCAGTTCTGTTTACACCTGAGGAAACAAATCAAGGAGTTGCCCAGGATGCACTGCTATGTAGTGACAGAGCTGGGATGAGAGTAGGGTCTCCTGAGATCCGTGCACAGCGTGTTCCCTCACAGCACTGACTGACTTTGGAGTGACCAGCAAGTGGCTCTCGAGATTTTTTTAAAAGAATAAATGCAATTTCAAACAAATTATCCAGAAGAATGCAACTATTTGAAAATTCACCCTCTGTATATGACTGGGCTTACTTTGGGCAGGAATTTCACCGGGTCTCACGCAGCATCCGCTGGGGAACTGAACAGGGTAGGGGTGGGGGTGGTATGGCCACACCCTACCTCTCTCCTTTGTGCACACTGGTTCCCATTCTTGGAAGCATTTCGGAGCATGTGGCAGATGGCCTGAGGCCTCTGGATGACACCTTACCTAGCAATGGCAAGGCTGAGGCTTTTCCCAAAGAATATCCTTTCAAAATAACTCTCAAAGAAAACAAGAGTGGGTGCCCTTAGCCCAGGAGGAGCCCAGACTCACACTATTGAAGATCTGCAAACCGTCATGGCCGCCCGACACGTATATCCTGCCCTCAAAGACTGTAACCCCTGCAGCACTGCGATTGGAGCTCATCGGGGTCACCACAGTCCACCTTCAGGAAAGAGGCAAAGTAGAAGGGGAGCCATGAGATTTGGTGTTCCTGTCCTCCCAAGACAGCTTAGAAGGATTCAGGGGAACTGTGCTGTGCTCCATCTCACCCTGGACAATCTCCCCACTTCTTATCGCCTCCCACACCACCTCTGCTAAGGGCTCACTCTGGCTGCCGCCTCTCACTTTAAGCTTCGGGCCCATAGCTGGTCATCTCTGCCGGCACTCAAAATTAACATCGCCCAAGCAAGACGTCTCTGACAGATCTGCTGCTCCATCACACTCCCTGGTCTCGATAATGGGACCACTAGCTACCTAGTTGCTATACTTATAATCTCAGCATTTTTATGACCTCTTCTCCATCATCCTCAACATTCTGTGGTCACCATGACCCCCCTGGTTTGCTTCCTAGTCACTGCTTGTCCCCATCCCACTACTGCCGCCCTAGCTCTGGCCTCTCACTGGACCACTGCAACAGTCCCCTTACAGGTGGCCTGGCTTTCAGAACATCCCCATTCCGATCCTGCACAGCACGTCCTCTGGTGAGGACTCCTGTTTCCTCTAAGGCAGAGTCCAAGTTCCTTAATGTGGTTCTTTACCACTTGGTCCTCATCCACTTTCCAGCTTTGCTTCCTGCCATGCGCCACCCACACCTGCTCCTCAACCACACACAGCTGTTTCTTATCTCCAAGCCTCTCTTCCTGCTGTCCCCCCACCTGGGATGCACGTCTCCCACTATCCACGATGGGTCTCCCCTTAGAAGACATCTCTGCAACCTGACTCTCCCCGCAAGCTGTGGGGAAGATGAGAGCCCTCCCCACTCTGTGCCCAAGAGCTCTAGACATAGGCACCCAAGGGAGGACGATCACCTTGTGCTGTGGCCCCAACAGACTAGGTGCTACTTAAGGATCTGAGACACCCTGCTCGCTGCCCGATACATAGTAAGTTGGTTAAGTGAATGGAATATTGGCTTAAAAGCACTGTGATGAATCCATTCTACTAATGTGCTTATATTGTTATAGTAAAAGCAGATTCAAATACTGAAATGAAGAACTCGGGCTAACCTTGCCAGTGTTTTCCAAAGAGTGTTCCGCAAAATAAGTCCACCAGATGGTGATAGGTGTTAGATAAAATGAAGTTAAAGAGGTTTCTCTGCCGCATAATTTTTCAGTCTTTAAAATAGTAATATGTATTATGGGAAGATGAGGCCTCTGCTGGTACAGACATCAATGTTTCCCAAGCTTCTCTGAGTATCTGAAATGTAACTTTTTTCCCCACAATCCTATCTTACCCACTTTGGAAAGGGCTGTTCATCTATTTCTCATCCCTTTTCACCTGCATTTCTATTAAAATGCGCTGATTTAGTTAAGAGGTACAGAGCATTAATAACTGTTTCCAAGTATCTAAGCAGACTGTTTTTAGAATTTATTTAATCATTCATTCATTTAACCAAAGGTTATTAAATGCCTATTATATGCAAGGTACTACAGGGGCTAAATAGGTGAGATATTCCCTATCCTTAGAAGCATGATTAAAAGATTGCAGTTCTGATTTTTCATACTCTGTTTAGCAAGCTCCAGTTGCCCCAGGGGAGCTGGAGTCCTTACTTGTCCGTCTCAGGTGAGTAGGTCTCCACAGAGTTGAGAGAAGAGTTGCCATCATAGCCACCACAGACGTAGATCTGCCCGTCCAGCACGACCGTCCCCATGGCACTGAAACAGAGGTGTCATCCCGATGGGCCTCAGACTTCTTGGGGCAACCTCTCACGCTCACTGAGAAGTAAACCTAGCCCCCAACTGCCTCTTTCTAGAACAGACCTAAATCCCAGGAATGTGACTAAGCAAAGTGTAACACTGAGGGGAAAGGAGCTGCCCTGTGATTCCTCTTGCCTCCTGCCCCCCTGCCTGGGGTTACTTCCTCTCCCTCCTCCTCAGTCCCTGATATGCTCATCTTCCGCCCTGCCGTGCTCAGGGTCTGATTTACCTTTAAGGCCCAGGTCAAAATCCTCTCTCTCCTCCTCCAAAAGCCATCCTGCATTGCCCAGCAAGAATTACTCCCTCCCAACCCCACACTCCCAGAACAGCTCCTTTATCACAGCTCCTGTCAGTCGTCCATTCGTTCAGCACGTTTTCATCAGGCCCTCATGAGGCACACCGTCCCATGCACCAGGTTTAGAGAACTGAGCAAGCCAGACTCCTGCCCACGGGGTACCAGGAATCGACCCGCCACCTCTTAACAAGCGGGGACCTCCTGGAAGACTGGGGTCTCTATCAGTGTGACCCTCACAGTACTTAATGTGGTGCTTCGTACGTAACAAGCCCTCAACATACGTTTGTTGTGTTACCTTGATTTCCCCACGCAATTCACTATAAAGTTTGACAGACATCTTTCCATTACATACATGGCCCTGCATGTCCCCTAGTTTGTCTTAGTGGGTGAGGCAACAGCTTCTGTTTGTTTCGTACTTACTACACACATCAGGTGCTCCACACTTGCTATTTTCCACTCTCACCACATCCTGCATGAAGCATCACCATCACCACTGTATAGATGAGTAGCTGTGGCTTGGGGAGTCTGGGCTATCCTCTCAGGGCTGCCCAGAGAGAGGCATGCCTTAGATTTCAATGACACAAGTCTGATTCCCACACTGTTCATCATGCCAAGTTCTCCTAAGAATCTTCTACATAAAGCCTCATGAAAAATTAAACATGAATGCCAAGCTGCCCGATTCACTGTTTTCAAACCTGATGCTGGAGAAGATTAAAAATGAATCTGGGTGCCTAACAAATAGGAAGATAAACTGTACCAGGCTTTATAGCCCCCTTCCAAATGTACACAGCAAATCAAAGTGATACACACACACGATGTCCCTGAACCAGCCTGAAAGAGGAAAAGGACCTGCCTTGGGAGAGGACTGTGGGAAGGTCACAAACTCACTAGACATGTCACTATCCTTCTAGAAGTGGACAAAAGTAACAATTTAGGAGTTCAACAAAAATGTGAGGAAGAATTGAGAGGTGCCACAAAACTGTGTGAGATTAACTATCAACGAAACGGTAAAGACAGTGTGAAGAGACAAGGGGGAGAAATGCTGACCAGTGTGGACTGGATAAGGCATGGGAGAAGGCTCCACGCAAGCAGCCTGGAAGACTGGAGAAGGACAGGGAATGACGGCAGAAAGGAGGCTGTCACCAACTGGCAGGACAGAGGGTGTGTGGTTCATCAGGGGAGAAGTGACTATGAACATTTTAAGGTAGCCTGTAATTTAAAGGGGACGAAATGGAGCTGGGCCCACACTACTAATAACAGGGCATTAACCACAGTGAGGGAAAGGGCTACCCGGAGGGCTCCTCCCAGACAGCACTCCAAACCCTGTGACATCACAGCTGGCAAGTGGCCCAGAGCAGACACACAATGAACAACTGATTGACATCAAAGTGAAAAAGGCCCTCCTGGTTGGTGATATATATGGAGCAGTGAGTCATTCGAGGCCACAGAAAGCTGCAAAGTATCCAAGGAGCAAGAAGGGGAAGCACGGAAGCAGAGGTGGGGGGTGGGGGGAGGAAGGAACCATGAGAGTGTAGCTTACGGCTTCGGGAGGAGTAGATCTTATACACATATTTTTTCTTCCAAAATCAAAGCTACTTTGGCCTTTTGTGAATCTTACTGGTACAAAGGCAGATTCCCCCCTGCTCAAGGCCACAAACAAACACTACTGAACGTGATACACCATGTGTATCACGGACCATGTGTGACAGTTTCATGTGGCAAAGGACTTCCACACTGCAACGTGACTCTTCTTCCTGACCACATGCAGTGACTTGATCTTTTTTTTTGGCGGTCACATGATCTTACAAGTAGAAAACCCAAATCATGGCCAGACAAAGGGGTCTGTAAGGCAAATTCTCAGATGAGAGAATTACAAAGCAGAAAGGCCTTTAAAGGGCAACTGGTCCAGTGGTTTTCGAACTGCCCCTTTCAAAAAAAGTTTCATTTAACTTTTTCCTCCTAAAGTTGGGCATATGTCAAGGAAGCTCAATACATAAAAGGGATAAACACAGAGCTGTTCTGGTTAAACGGGTAGGGGGCCTTGGATGGCTGTCCTATCTTCCGTTAGTTTTGGAAGAGAAACATCAGAGCGTCATCTGAAACCATGATCTGGGGGCTTCCCTGGTGGCGTAGTGGTTAAGAATCTGCCTGCCAATGCAGGGGACACGGGTTTGAGCCCTGGTCCAGGAAGATTCCACATGCCATGGAGCAACTAAGCCCGTGCGCCACAACTACTGAAGCCCATGCGCCTAGAGCCCGTGCTCCACAACAAGAGAAGCCACCGCAATGAGAAGCCCACGCACCGCAACGAAGAGAAGCCCCGGCTCGCTGCGACTAGAGAAAGCCCATGTGCAGCAACGAAGACCCAACGCAGCCCAAAACAAACAAACAAACAAACAAAACACCACAATCTGGGGCGGCTACCCCAAGGGTAGGAGAACACAGAGCCTGTCCAGTTACACTCTCCCCCTCCAAAGCTCCTGCCGTCCAACCATGACAATACCCCACACACGGCTGACATAAGGAAGGATGCTGCCAGTCACTTTGGCACTAAGAAGACTAAATGGAGGCACTATGTTTTCTTACTCAGGAAATGTGAGCAGGAGGAGACAAGTGGCTGGAAGGCGTTAAGAGAAATAAAGTCGGGACTTCCCTGGTGGCGCAGTGGTTAAGAATCCGCCTGCCAATGCAGGGGACACGGGTTTGAGCCCTGGTCCAGGAGGATCCCACATGCCACGAAGCAACTCAGCCCGTGTGCCACAACTACTGAGCCTGTGCTCTAGAGCCCGCGTGCCTAGAGCCTGCGCTCTGCAACAAGAGAAGCCACCCGCAATGAGAAGCCCGCGCACCGCAAGGAAGAGTAAGGCTGGCCACAACTAGAGACAGCCTGCGCACAGCAATGAAGACCCAACGCAGCCCAAAATAAATAAATAAATAAAGTAATTAATTAAAAAATTTATTTAAAAAAAGAGATATAAATTCGGTCCACCTCACAACTAGCTGTGTGCTCATGCCTGGGGGACGTGTGGCATCCAGAAGTAAAGAGCATTGTTGTGGTTCACACACTCCCTGGTAGTGAAAGCACATGTGGGGCAGGGATCCTGGGGGAAAGAAAGTATAAAGAGGAACACCTCGGATTCCCTTTTATGACCAATAAAGTTAAATCCTCCTTATTCTTCAGGTTTCAACTTTAATCTCACCTCTTCCCTGAAATCTTCCAGATGTTCCAGTCCAGCTTCTCTCCTGCCTCGCGTCTTCCATAATACAAACCTTTAGTTCTTACCTGGCACTTAAATAATAATACAACTTCCACACGTCCCTGTCTTCCCTGTCTTGTCTCCCCAAGTTCCTCAAAGGACAAGGCAGGGGTTTTACTTTTAAGCAGATGGGGGCTGGCTTCCAGGAGGTACGGGCAGTGGCTGGCCTGGCCGCAGGGGATCCCCAGGCTGAAGCTAGCGTCTACTTTATAATGTGCCCTGCTTGTCTAGCGTGGTGTCCCCCAGATGCCTGGTGTGTATGCTCAGGACGTACAGACCGGCTCCCAGAATACCTTCTCTTGCTATTCATGCTCCCCACTCGGGTCCACGTGTCCGTCTCTGGGTTGTAGACCTCCACAGTGCTCAGCCGCAGCTGGCCGTCATACCCCCCGATGGCATAGAGGAGTCCGTTCACCACGGCCACACCGACACGGCTGCGGGCTGTGGTCATGGGATGGCACTTCTCCCAGCGATTGGCGATGGGGTCGAACACTTCCACCACATTCAGGGAATCACCTGCATAAAAATTTGCTACTCAAATTAAAACAAATGAGACCGCTCGTTTAGATCACAGCTGTTGCGCAATGATTATACGGAATGTTCAACTTCGTCCTATCAGCTCTTCCCGCAGAAATTACTCAAGCCAGGAGGGCCCACTAAGAAACTGCAGCCATGATAACCTCAAACTTAATTCTTTAAGGAAAATCAGAATCAGACAGGAGGCATTTATTTACTTTCTAGAGAGGGCAGTTTTAAGTTGCAAGGAGGTTCTTCACCTGCTTAAAGGCAGAGGTGAAGGCAAATGGAACCACTATTTCCCCGACACAGAGCAGGAGATGGCTTCCAATGCGGCTCTCACTTCCTAGCAGTGACCCTGGGCAAGCTGCTTTGTATCCCCATCTTCTGTTCTCACATGTGAAATAATCTCCATAGCAGAGTTCCCATGAGGATTAAATGATATAATATGTAAAACACCTAGCACAGTTCTAGAATATACCAAGTGCTCAAGAAACAGTAGTCACAGAAGCAAGGAATAGTAACTCCAACCCTACCGTTTTCATCAGTTTTTTAAGATCAAATAAAATAACCCCCTCCCTGTTTTATTCTGCTTTGGGACACTCAGCACCTGCCACGCTCTAGCATTTACTAGTTGAGGACTTACCTTTTCCAGGTCATATGGTTAACAAGTAGCGTAGGCCAGTACCCACCTCCCATTAACTTTCAATTAAAAACGAAACTGCCCAGGACTGCCCACCAGCTCCCCACCTCCCACAAGCTTGGGCTGACTCTGAAAAGGCCTGGCCTTCACATCCAAGGTGACGACTCCCTGTGCCACTGCACTGCAAGGATTCAGGTGTCTCCCCTGCCCTCTCCTAGATTGCTACTGCCCTGCAGTGGTGCCTGGGGTGGGCAGGAGTGGGGGTGCCCCATGGAGGTTTCCTGAAAACTTGACTGTATAATACAAGAACTGCCAATAATACACGGACTACAAGGCATGTGGGTTTCACTGGAGGTAAGAGGTGAAGAGTAAAAAGTATTGATAGTGCAGACCGTGCATATTTGGAGAATCTTCCTTCTTACGGTGACACTCTCACAGTCTAAGCCCAGAGATCCACATGACTGAATGTGATTAGCCTGGTAACAGAACTGGGTCTCTGATTATATCCTATCCAAAGCTGAGTAAATCCCATAGGTGACGTGATATTAGGGGAAGAGTGCAGGCTCAGGAACCAGGACCTGAGTTCTAGTCCTTGCTCAGCCAAAAGACTTGTGTGAACACAGCTAAAGTTCTCTGGGCCTGCCTCGACGTCCCCATTGTGAAGGAAGGGGGCCAGGCCTCTGGGGTTTCTAAAGGGCCCTTTTGCGTTGATATTCTGCTTCAATGGTATTAATATCTGACATGCGCTAACTGCAGAACAATTATATAAAATCAAGAGGGATAAAGGTGGTGACATGCAAGGGGGAGGAAGCAGAGGGCCAGGCTAGGTTGTTTGGTGCTTCTTCAACCACGGCATCCAAGACAGGGTTCTACAAAGGGGAGCTGCAAGATACCTGCTGAGTTGAGGCCCCCCACGGCATAGATGAGCCCAGCGATAGATGTGCAGCAGCGAGGCCGAGTTCTGAAAGCTGGCAGGTGGGGCCGGCGCTCTGGCATGAGGTGATAGTCCTTTGCTTCATCCACCAGGTCCCTGGAATAAAGTGCAAGATGCTAGGACAGGAGGTATTCTCTCCGCTTGGCCCACATTTGTAGGTCTGAGCCTGGCTCCCCCAACCACAACTGCAGGGGAAACATGGGAGGAGAAGCCTTCTGGAAGGTTTGGTCTCAAAGAACCCAGGTGAGTCCAGGGGAAACTATACACAGCTATTGGGACGTGCTCAGCATTGGAGGGGCAAGATGAGCAGAGCCCATCTCTGTTAGTTTAACAGAAGAAAAACAGGGTGTTCCCTAAAATAGCTAGCCTTGGGGAGGTTCAACAAGCTGCTCGCATCCTGCTGCCACTCAGACCCAGCTCTTCCTTTCCATCCCTATGGCTCACACCCAGCAATTAACCATCTCACCCGGACTGTGGCAGCAGAAGCCAACTGCTCCTGAGAGATCTCCCTGCCTCCAGCCCCACCCCTCCATTCCAGCCTCCACACTGGGGTCCAAGCTGGTTTTCTAAGACCCTTCGATAACTGCCCACTGCCTACAGAACAAAGCTCAAACTCCCCCAACAGCACCCTTGAGACTGCTCCTCACAGGGTCTCAGCTACCTCCAGCCACACCTCCACCCCTCCCTGACACACACACTTTCACGCTGCGTGGACCACGCCACTGACTCCCTCCTGAACCAGCTGTGAATATGAGGAGCAGCTTGAAGGAAGATGCGTATTTTCCTCTGCTGCTCTACTTTTATAACAATCCTTCTACAGGGCTGCCGTCTCCTGAGCTGTTTTGGTGGCTCTGCTGCACCCTGTTGTTTTTGATTTACTCCGGGTAACAGTTTTGCATGCTGCTAAACATGCCCCACCCCTGCCCATCACTGTAGCTGGGCAGACCCACCTGAGGCCAGCACACTGACTAATGTTTACTGAAGAGGATGAGGAGCCCCAGGAAGTCACCAATAAGTCAGCTGCTGGTGTGGACAGGGTCCGGGCAGGCAGTATAGACGCCTGTAGGTCCACAAACAGCTCAATGGAAGGAGATGCCAGAAAATCCTCAAATAACTTAGGGGAGGAAGCCCCTTTTGCCTTGATGCTCCCATGCGGTACATTTCTTTGCCCAAAGGTGAGAGACTCAGGCTCTTCCAGGTTCTAGACAGAAGGCAGATCAATCTGTGTGCTGTGAATTAAGAACGACCACTCCAGGGCTTCCCTGGTGGCACAGTGGTTGAGAGTCTGCCTGCCGATGCAGGGGACACGGGTTCGTGCCCCGGTCCAGGAAGATCCCGCATGCCGCGGGGTGGCTGGGTCCATGAGCCATGGCTGCTGAGCCTGTGCTCCGCAACGGGAGAGGCCACAACAGTGAGAGGCCCGCGTACCGCAAAAAAAAAAAAAAAAAAAAAAAAGAACGACCACTCCAAATCCTTCCTCCCCCGAGCTAAGTGGCCAAGTTCTCTTCTCCGTCCAGACCCTCGGCATCATCCTCGTGCAGGCCCACCTCTGCTCACCTGCATTTGTGGCAGCAACGCACCAGGTCATCCTGCTGCACTCGGTCTGACAGGAACTGGGGCCGGCAGAGGGGCAGGCGGATATTGGACAGCAGCTCAGGCAGGCAGGGTCCCCTCTGCTCCCGGTCGTATCTGATCCAGGCCAACACGGCCTCAAAGACCTGCCACAATAGAGAGGGGAAGCTCTGGAGGCAACTCCTCCACCCAGAGGCCACACCCCTGTACCCTCCAATCTCAAACCCTCTGCTCCCTACACTGGGCCCACCAATCTTTCCTCCTGCTTGTCTCCTGAATCCACTGTTTTCTCTCCACGTCCCCAGCTACCCCATTCAGCCCACTCTCTTGAAAGGCAAGCCTAGGTTACTGCAACACCTTCCTGGCTTTCATTATGACTTCCTAACGAAAACCTGTCAAAGCTTCCTTCTTCCTTCCTGTACTGTAACAAAGTGCTGTTGACCTTCCGTCCCACTGCTCCTGCACCCTCTTCTCTAGCCAGGCCGGCTGTCCCCTTTACCTCGAATGCCCCCATCTCTTCCTTTCCATCTAAACTCATTTCCATTTCTTTTAAGGCCTGGATCCAGATCCGTGTTCTCCAAGGAGGCTTCCCTAAGGGCTCTGGTCACAAGGATATCTCCCTCTAAAGCCCCACAGCCCTTGTAGAATGCATCACTGCAATAGATGTGAGCTGCCCTGGGTCATATTACCTAGTGGAAGAGCCAGGGACAGAACCTCTTGCTCTTGGGACGGGGTCCTTTCCTACAAATCTCAGGGCCCACACTGCTGAGCTCAGAGTTCACTTTTCTAACGGTCACTAATACGGAGGGGTGAGGACTCTTCAGACGTTAAGGAAATGAGCTGAGTTGGGACTAACATCCCAACGGCTTGCCTCCTGGAGCCTGGGGCTCCTTCTGCCGAGGCAGCTTCATGATAGGCCAGGACTCATGACCAACTGACCAGATGAGCAGAGGCCTTGCCGCAGTGGTGCTCTGGGTGCCTGCAGGGCCAGGTCCAATTCCCCCCACATCCGACGCCCTTCACCACCCAGCCCTCGTCACCCTCTGCTCAAAGAAACATTGACTCACTGTCCTCTTAAGACACCTTGCACCACACTTTTGTTGAACAGAAAGGATGTCCTTCACTCCTCTCCGGCTACTAACACCCTACACTCTCATTTAATCTTTTCTTGACCGCTCCAAGAAGATGTCTTCTTTGTCCTCAGAGGACCCTGTGATCACCCACACCTCACCTTGCCAATAGCTTCACCTCCTCTTCCATGCAACCAACTCCACTTAGCCTTGGGCATGGCTCCCTCTCAGGTCCCCTGCAGCCTATTTCCTCACCTTTCTCTCACCCGACACGGATTCCAAGGGTCATTATTCCCATGCTAGTCTCCTATCTCTCTTAATCACACTTACCTGGAAAAAAATCTGTACCCTGGTGAAGTCCAGCTCTTTATATCCAATTCACCCCCTACCCTGCACCAGTATATGCAGCTGATAGAAAACACACAACAGGGCTGACCAGCTCATACTGAACTTGTGACTGAAAATCTCATCTGGCCCTGCTTCCTATCCAGCCCTCTCCATTTCCCGAGCTTCGTCCATTTACTCTCCCCCTTTCCTAGAGGACTGGTTCATACCTTTTCATCTCTCCTCAAACGTCTAACATTCCTCCCTCATCCTCACTCTCAGCTGAGAACACAGAAACAAACAAGAAGAGAGTGTGAATAAAAACTCCTGGCATCTCCCTTCCCACCCATCCTCCCCCTGCGCTGGGCATGTGCTCTCCTTCTCCCTCTTGTGGCCGTGGATGTGAACAGCCTAAGCTCCTCTCAAACACACACCCCGTGCCCTACACTCTGTCTCTTCTCACTTACCCCAGGACACCATTCTCCCTTTTCTCCTACATTACCAATTCTTCCCTCTCTTCCAGAAAATTCCCATCAGCAGTCCAACTGTACTGTAATTTCTCTCATCTTAAAAAAAACAAAAGCCTCTTGACTTCATGTCCCCCGCCCAGCAACTGCCCCCACGCTCTACTCTCCTTTAGAGTAAGACTCTTTCAGAAAGTTATCTATGCTCATTTCTGGTTCACAGAAACATTATTTCTAATAGTAAATTTTGGAAATAACCTGAACATTGAAGAATGAGGGTCACAGGGTTGATAAAAATCAGCTGAATATTATTTAGACACTAAAATGTATAAAAAGTTTTCAAGAAAAATGCATACAGTATGATAAAGCAAACCCACAATAAACAGCAGCTGCACACACACCATGATCTACATTTTGAAAAAAGTAAAATAGAAAACAAAGGTGAGAAAGAGCAGCAGCCCCCATGTCACCTCTGGACTGCTCTACAGACCTGCTCCTCTGATTTCACGTTCAGCTCATCCCGAGACACCAGCTCAAGCACGTCTTCCAGGGGCAGGGCCAGGAACTCTTCCGACATGGACACCTCCACAAAGTGCTGGTGGATGAAGCTGTTGGCCGCGTCGTATAGCACGGCACACATCATGGTCTCAGCAAACTGGCGTACACCCAGGCAGTTTTTGGGGTGAAGCCTTTTGGCGTAAGAGAAGATAAAAAGAAAAGAGTTAGAGGAAGAATGTTATCTTTGATCATTCTCAAGTTGGTTCTGGGCAGAGTTACAGAATGGAAAAAAAAACAAGCTCTGTCCTCAGCTTTAGTGGAAACCCCCTGTGTGACATCAGGTGAGCTTCTCTGGGACTCAACTTGTAAAGGTATAAAAATAAGGCAGGGACTTCCCTGGTGGCGCAGTGGTTAAGAATCCGCCTGCCAACGCAGGGGACACGGATTCAAGCCCTGGTCCGGGAAGATCCCACATGCCGCAGAGCAGCTAAGCCTGTGCGCCACAACTACTGAGTCTGCACTCTATAGCCTGCAAGCCGGAACTACTGAAGCCCACGCACCACAACTATTGAAGCCCGCACGCCTAGAGCCTGTGCTCCTCAACAAGAGAAGCCACCACAATGAGAAGTCTGCACACCACAACGAAGAGTAGCCCCTGCTTGCCGCAACTAGAGAAAGCCTGCACGCAGCAACAAAGACCCAACGCTGCCAAAAAAAACCCCAAAAACAAAAAAAACGGCAGATTATCCTCAAAGGAGCCTGCCTCTTGGGCCTAGTGCTCCGTGTGTCTATGTGAAGTGAGTTCTCTGGGAAGTCCTGGGAAGCAGCTCCCAGGAGAGAAGAATAGAGCACATACTGGAAAACTTTGCTTTCTTTCAGTGGTTGACATTCTTGATTGAATGTCTGCCTCTGGTCACCGGGAAGGCCCTGAAGATGTAGAATCAGAGTTTAAACCACATGGAGAAATGACTTCTTTAATATCAGGACCCTTACACTTTTTTCTTTCCTTTTTTTTTAAACAAAAAGAGGCTCTATGGGCCCGACTGTTCAGTCAACAGCGGCAGCTACCACTTATATGGCACCATCAGTGAGCCAAGTACTTTGCCAGGGTTTCTAGACACATTCTCCAGGATTTTTTAAACAACACTCCACAATAGTAATTGCTCTCATTTTTAGGTGGAAAACTGAGGCTCGGAGAAACTAAGAAATGTCCTCATCGTCCCTCTACAAGCAAGTGGTGGTGCTGAGATTGAACTCTGGCCTTTTGTGCACATTCCCACAGTCCCGAGACAGACCTGCACTCATCAGGGCCAGGGAAACCCAGGGTAAATTCTGACCCTGCCACACTGGGCAACTTGGGTGGATTCCTTAGGCTCCTCAAGTGTCAGTAATAGCCTTGCCTAGAAAAAGGTGATGACAACAGCTACTCACCTCCTAGGGCTGTGGCCATGACTAAGTAGGAATGTAGGAAACGCATCCGACATGGTGCTTGGTATGAAGTTAGCTTCTGGTTTAATTTATATTATGTTTGTTTTTCTTACTACTATTACACCTGAGAAAATTCCAAATGAGCCCAATGTAGTTCCAAAATCTTGGTGACAGCAGTGGACCATGGGGGATATGGCTTTTCTTATTTTGATTTTGTGACTGACAATCTTGTGATGGGAGATGGTACATATTAGATTAAAACTGCCCAGGTTTACTCTTTGTGAGAACGCTTTCTCTTCCCCCTCTCCCCCATATTGATTTAAGGGTTACAGTAAGCTATACTTACTAATCAATATTCACCATTGCCCACTGCCAGTAGCAGACCTGTCAGGGACTGAAAGGGCAGAGCATCTCAGGAGCCTGGCTTTATGACTAGTCTAAATTCTGCATAGCTGTTGTTTCGTTCCAGCCTAAACTGGCTCTGTCCATTGTTTTGGAAACCTAGGCCATTTCCAAAGGCCAAGGAAACATAAGCATTGAGCACCCCTGGGCAAGCAGCATGGCCCAGGGAGAAATACGGGACTCAGGGTCAGAATGTCAGCTCAGTCATCTGTCAAGTAACGTTAGCCTTTCTCCTGGTTGAGACTTGTTAAAAGCACGTATGGCAGATCAGATACGAGGACAGACCCTCCCTGGGCCTCTACAGCATGTGCTTCACTCATTCCTACTACTCTGACATCAAGTCAAGAGGAGGGTTCAAATACCACGGACAAGGAACTGGATAGAGTCCAAAGACGCGGGAAAGGATGATCCACTTTGCTGACTGGCACACATTTCCATCCTTTCCCTCCCAGGTTAGGATTCCTGCGCCTCACCTTTGGTTGTCTTTGACTGGCTTGGAATGATTGAGCACAAAACACACTTTCCACTGAAGTGGGCTTTCACATCTAAGAGGGTAGGATGTGGGGAGCCTGTCTGTAAGCCAGCTGGTGGGGAAAAAGGAGGGAGAGCTGCCATGCAGGAGAGGGGACCATTCAGGAGAAGGAGGAAGACAAGAGGGACAATAACCCAAAGGGCAGATAGAGACCCATATCTGTCAATAGCCACTTCACAACCTCCTTCCTTGCTGACATAGCTTGACCATGATAAGATGTAATGCTTTATCGGAGGTAGGAAGCAGTGACTTGAATTAAATAAGTTATTGGCTTGGTTCATTGACGCATCTGATGTTCTGATCCAGTTCTGAGAGAAGAATTTTGGAAAATACACACCTCCAATCCTCACCTAAAAACAAGGAGGTCCATTCATCTGAAGGCTGGAAAAGGAGCCACAGAAAAAAATCAACCCCCAACCTCATGGGAAAAAAGAAAAAAAAAAAATCAGCAGGCTGAATATCTAACAGGCAAAATGGCTTCAGGAACTACTGCTCTAAGAATTCTGACGGCTTTGCAGCTTTTCTGTGCTCAGTCATGCCCTGTCCTTTTCACAACCGCTCAGGATGGTTTCCCTCAAGTCTTTAGTAATCAAACCTTGAAACTGAAGGGCCCACATGCTTGTCTTCAAGAACACACAGGAAGGGGACAGCTGGGAGACTCCATTACACTCTGCAGCCAGGCTCAGGGAGAACCACCCCCAGGAACACAGGCAGTGATGGTAGCTATTGAAAAGAAAACAGAAAGGCCAAACCTCTGGGGCCTGTGGCAGAGAATAGAAACAGGAATAAGGTGTGAGTTTAGGCTTCAGAAGGGGGCTCCCAGTGCTGAACGGAAAAATGTCAAGGACAGACTCAAAACATCAGGCTTTGTGCTTTAAGTACCTTTTCCTAATATGTCACTGGTGCATGTAAAAACTGCACTGGTCTAAAAATCACTTTTCTAAGCATCTTTTTACATGACACTACTTTATAATAGAGCCTGGATCCAGTGTTGACAGTGATGAACTCAAAAGCCCCTAGGTGGAGCTGTTGTCCCCTTGTGAGAATGGCCAACTTCACCCTTTCCACAGGGCCTTACTTAGTCATTCTCCAAATTCTGTGGGAATACAGAGATGAACCAAGTCCAGTCCGTGTCCTTAAGCTCGCAAATGAGTAGGACAGACAGTGTGTGCCCTACAGCCCATCACACGCAGCTCTCTAGGCTGACCCAGAAGGCATCCTAGGGCAGGTCAAGCCAGGCTCTGGGGCTGCACTCACTACATGGTCTCCAGCTGCAAAACCCGAACAGGACCACCTACCTCCCAACGAAACCAGCAGAGCGCCCCTGCGTGTTAGCATCATTACCACGGTCGTTAAGACCATCTGCACACACAGCAGTGCTCACTGATGCCCGTGAGCACCACATAGGCAGGATGTGGACCTCAGGCAGGGTCCACAGAGCTGCTAAGTGAGTTGAGCTGGTGGAACAGAAATGGGGGAGGGAGAGGTTGGCTCTAAGAGGGGATGAGGTTCAGGAGGCCAGGTCTGAGGCAGAGGAATGCTGGTCTTCAGGCCAGGGGCCTTGTGATCAGAGGAGATCAGGTGGAGCCAGGCTTTGGAGAGACCACAGACAGAGGGGCACTGTTCTGGTTTCTCCCTGCCTGTGGGCAGCCCAGCACTAACCCTCACCCCCAAGCCTCTAGTGGTTAAAGGCAGCTTTTACCTTGTGACTACGAGCTCTGCCTCTTGAGGGGGAGGAAGAGCCTTCTTATCTGCTCAGTCCTCAAAAGGTCACGGCCAAGTACTGGACATAGGTAGGGGTATAATCCATGGTCCTTACTCTAAAGGAGCATATAATGATTGCTCCCAGGGGACTGAAGGGGACAGAGAATTCCAGGAGGTGAAATTTGGGTGGGCTCTTGCAGAGCAGAAGGAAAAAGGAAGGCCAAGAAATTCAAGGAGGGAGAAGGATCTAAACAAAGAGGGAGACAGCTATGGAACAGTGAGGGAGCACTGAATAAATCTGGTGGTGGCTGGTTAGATTGGACAGAGAGGACCAGAAGAAGAGGTGCATGTCAGACCAAGGGAGAGTACAGGCAAGGCTCCATAAATCATGTTCCTGAAAGGTTCATCCCGAAGAACTGGGTACTGCTTGATGCTGATTTCAAGAAAGGGCATTTCCTCAGAGTTATCTTCCCATCTCACTCCCTTCATGAGACTCTCCATGCCCCCAAAGACTCATCAAACTGGCAGGGGATCCCAGAAATGACACGGTCTGCTCCCCGACACAGGCCAGGCCCATCACATCACCTCACCGTTCTCGGAGGAATGTGCAGCAGGCGTCTTTGATGCTCTGCAACTGCAGGAAACTCGCCCCCATCAGCAACGACTGGACGTTTTGCTGGTCAATGGCAAGGTGACCGTTGTAGGCAAAGTTGATCAGAGCTTCCAGGGCGCTAGAGGAGAGGAAAGATGCTCTTCAGAGATGGTGTTCGGCCCACAGGATACTCAGGCCCTAAGTAAGCTGACATTGTTACCTGAGGAACGGATGGGCCCCGCTCTCAAATACATTTAGCCCATGCCCTTTGAGAATCTACCTGAATGGAATAATTACTTCACCATAGCTATCATTCTACTTCTTAGGTTGTCTTTACTGCCCAAATGATTTTATTATAGAAGGTTCTGAAAAGACAAAGCAATGACCCAGAATCTCACTACTGAGTCAACTGTAGTCATTTTTCTAGATTAATTTCCATTTCCTATTTGCCTGCATGCTTAAGTTGTATGGATATAATCATGTAATACTTATGAAGCCCTTTCCCATGTTTCTACACTGACTTCATGTTCAACTTTCTTTTTTTTTTTTGGCCATGCCACGCGGTTTGTGGGATCTCAGTTCCCCCTGACCGGGGATTGAATGTGGGCCATGGCAGTGGGAACGCTGACTCCTAACCACTAGATCGCCAGGGAACTCCCCATGTTTGACATTTTCAACGGCTGCTATAAAGTAATCCAACATGTAAATGTGCTATAATTTATTTCCTTTATTGGTAAGCATAATAGCTTTTATAAATAACATTTTTGGATTATTTCTTTGGGATAAGTTTCCAGCCTGAGGTTTCCAACATTTTTTTCTGCCTTCCAATTCACACCAAGAATGAAATCCAAATTCTGTCTATAGGGCTGTATGTGGTCTGGCCCCTTTCCATCTCTCTGACCTCATCACCTTCCACTCTTTCCCCCTCACTCTATTCCAATATGCTGAACACACTCTCACTTCAGGGCCTTTGCACTGGCTACTCCCTCTGTTTGAACGGCTCTTCCCCCAGATGTCTTGCTCCCTCACTCCAACTAAGGTCTTGGCTCAAATATCACCTCATCACAGAGGGCTTTCCTGAGCACCCTGAAATAGCACAGACCCTCACCATCATTCGCTAGCCTTTATTCTGCTTTACCTTTTTCACATCACTTTCACTTCCCAGCCATATCATGTATGTATTTGTTTACTGCCAGATGGCCACTACTAGCAAGTTGGAATAATAAGAGGTGCTTTCTATTTCCTCTGCTATACCTCAGTACCTACAGCAGCACAGATCACAGGTTCTCAGTCTATCTGTTAAATGAAGCACTTGGATGGTGCATGGTGATTAGCATGGCTCTGTCAGACACAGATCTCAGAGATGAGAGTGTACAACTGCCCTTGGATATAGACACACTTCTATGTCTTTCATTACAAGTAGCTGGCCTGAGATTGCACCCTTGCAGTGGGTATACAGATCCTCTCCATGTACTGGAGCAAATCACCTTCAATCAACCGGAAGGTACCATACAGTTTCCTAGCTCCTTTCCTTCAAGTTTTCACCATGGGGAGATTAAGACGTTAGGCAACAAATGACAGCTTACTGGCTAATATTTTGGAGTCATCGGTTTATTTATTGTCTCTCTCCCAACAAGAATCATCTTGCGTGTCCTGTTTGCTCTGCATGCCCAGACCCCAGAACAATGCCAGGTACATAGTAGGTGCACAGTGGACCCTTGGATGTAGCCTAGGTTATAAACACACAGCCTCAGTTCACAGACTTGCAGTAAAATCTTTTAAGTCATATAAATATGCCTTTTTCCTTTCAAGGCCCCAAAAGGCATACTGTGGAATATGTTTATATAAAGCCTTCATACAGAAGTCAGGAAAGTATTTCTGTAAAGAGGGTCTAGATGTAAGGATAACTTTAAGTAAGTGTGTAAATGATGCAATTTCAGGGTTTATAGTACTGCCTCCTGACCCTAAAACTCATCTAGGGCAGAATTGCTCAACCTCAGCACTACTGACATTTGGAGCCAATGATTCCATTATGGAGGGCTTTCTGGGACACTGAGAGACGTTTAGAGGGATAAACTCTGGGCTTGACCTCCTTGGACTTCAGTTTTCTTCTTTTTTTAATTTTACTTATTTATATTTTTCGCTGCATTGGGTCTTCATTGCTGCGCGTAGGCTTTTTCTAGTTGCAGCGTGTGGGGGTTACTCTTCGTTGTGGTGCGCAGGCTTCTCATTGCCGTGGTTTCTCTTGTTGCGGAGCATGGGCCCTAGAGCGCACGGCTTTCAGCAGTTGTGGCACGCGAGCTCAGCAGTTGTGGCTTCTGGGCTCTAGAGTGCGGGCTCAGTAGATGTGGTGCACGGGCTTAGTTGCTCTGCGGCATGTGGGATCTTCCCAGACCAGGGCTCAAACCCGTGTCCTCTGCATTGGCAGGCGGATTCTTAACCACTGCTCCACCAGGGAATTCCCGGGCTTCAGTTTTCTCACCCATCAAATAACCATGATTTCTGCTACCTTCTCGACCTGCGTCATCACATTAACAGCCAGTAGACACACGTGGCTAATTAAAACTAAATTTATTATTATGTATTATTTACTTATTTATTTATTTATAAATTGGCCACACTGCGTGGCTTACAGGATCTTAGTTCTCTGACCAGGGATTGAACCCAGGCCCTCGGCAGTGAAAGCATGGAGTCCTAACAACTGGACTGCCAGGGAATTCCCCTAAAATTAAATTGAAATGAATTAAAATTAAATAATATTTAAAATTCAGTCCCTCAGTCCCACTAGTCACATTTCAAGTGCTCAACAGCTACATGTGTTAGTGGCTACCAATTTGTAGAGGACAAACAGAACATCTCCATCGAGGCAGGAAGTTGGACAACAGTGGACAACACTGTTCTGGACTGATGGGAAGGGTAATGAATGAAGACACTTATTTGAAAGACTAGTCTGCCAGCTAGAAAGGTTAGCACAGAAAAGTGAAGAGAATAATATACCACCAACTTTGTACCCAGTCCTAGTTTTAAAAACGTATCTTGGACTCTAGTTCCTATGAGACGTGTTACTCTCATTGAGTTAAAACACATCAAAACTCTCCTTATTTTAACCCTGTCTCAGGCCACGGGCTGAGGTTCTAGCTTGTTTACTGGTCACCTACTGTGTGTGTGGAGCTGTGCTTGATACTGGGTCCTGCTGGAAGGCCCTCAAAGGGCACCAAACACAAGGCTGAAACTGCACCTAGAAAGCAGGTTGTGAAACCTGATGGAGGAATTTAGTACCTTGGGTCCATTCCTTGCATTACAATCTCATCCTGCTTGCACTCCATCATGTCATTTGTAAACATAGCGTGGAAATACGGGATTGAGGCTGCTAAGACGATCCGGTGAGCACTGAATTTGTGGTCCCCAATCTGCAGGCAAAGTAAAATACAAAGACAGATATTGAGGAATGCAAGTACAAAAACCCACCCTGCCCCTTCCACAGCTCAACTGTCTGCCCACTGGAGTGGTACTGATGGCATCCCAGGACGTGATAGCTGAGGCTTTTCATGGAGACCTTGAAGTATTTTAAACTCAACATACACGGTTATAGTACGAGAATGTAGACAACACATTTTCATAAGGCATTAAAACGGTTAAAAGTCTTTATTTATATGGCAATCTTCACTGCATCCCTCCAAACTCCCCCCACCAACTCAAAGACCTGATTTCTCGAACACTTTATCCTGATTCCAATTTTATTAGATGGTAGATGGAAGAGACAAAGTGGCCAAGAACGCTGAAGCACCTAACAGTAGGCTCCTCCAGAAGAGTAAACAGTGACAGGAAGAGATGAGGAGAAACAAGCTTGAATAGGGGGTGCATGTGGGGATCAAGGACAGAGGAGGCATTGTGGGCACAGATGTTAGGGGGTCCCTGGGCACCAACCAGGCTGTGGTAGACCACAAGGAGCCCAGAGTCCTCTAAGGAACATGACCCTGGCAGCAGCAGCTGGAAGGACTGGGGCTGTGGACTGGCCAGTGCTCTGCATGGCCTGTAGGGCTCATGTGGACAGAGGCAGACTCTCTCTAACTTGTACCAAATGCTCAGGAACACATCCTTAGCCTGGGGAGTTCCGTAAAGTGCTTTCCAACTATCTGCCAAAAGGATACTCCCTTTAACTTTGCCATTGATAGCTCCAAGACACATAAACATTTCCACTTCAGAATTTTCTACTCTTCAGAAAGAGCAAACAGTCTTTTTTTTCCTCCCCTTCACCTAAGTTCCACATTAGTGAAATGCCAGAGCCATCTCACTATCTGATGCTCATCTCTTTGTGTCGTATTTATTCAAGGATTCTAGCTCAGGTTCTCTCACTATGTCCTCTTTTTCACTGAACTTTAGGTTTATTATCTGTAAACTGTCCTTCAAGATCAAGCACACAACCATCCAAATACCAAAGGATCCTTACTAGATTCAGATTCTAGGAGTTCCTCATATAATCCATGTGTTGTCCTACTACCAGTGTTGGGGACATTAAATGGCTGCATGCTTTGAGGGTTTTTCATAATTAAAAAAAAAAATCACAGTAATAAATGCAAATATTTCTTAAAGTTGTTCTACAAGGCTTATAATGAAAACCAGAAGTTTCTGGTTCCCTGATTTCTGCTCCTGGGGCAGCCACTTTCTTCTGGTATTTATCTCTATCTTTCTAAGTAATATGCCTCTAATATTATTTCTTGAATTTTCACTTTTAGTTATTACTTGTGGTAGTCAGCCTCCAAATAGCTCCCAATTCATCCCTGCCTTCTGGTATTCATGTTGTGCAGGTCCCTCCCACAATGTCTCAGGGCTGGTCTGTGTGACTGATGGAACGTAGCAGAAGTGATGATGGGATGTCACGTTAAGGCTAGGTCATAAAACACACTGCAAATTCCTCTAATTGTCTCTCCTGGATCACATGCTCTCAGGGAAGCCAGACAACAACATATCCTGAGAGGCCCAGATGACTGCAGCCCAAGGTGACACCTGGACTGTAACCTCATGAGAGCTTCTCAACTCCTGCTTCTGAATTCCTGACCCACAGAAACTGTGAGATAATAAATATCTGTTATTTTAAGTCACTAAGTTTTGGGGTAATTTGTTATGTGGCAAAATATAACTATTAGGTTACATATTTAATTCTTATGATGGAAGATTAGGATTTTGCTCTGACATGCTCTCTTCACATACTACTTCATACTACTTCACATACTATCTCCATTTTCCCATAGAATTATGCCAAATTTTGGTCAAATTAACATTAAGAATTGCATTATTAGATCTATGTGAATACTATTTGTAGACAAGCCAGGATGTATACTACGATTACATTTCTTTGTTGGTATAATTTCTGTTTTCCCTGAAGATAATAATAAAGTGTAAAACTCCCTTTAATATGTTCCATCAGGTACCCTATCAGTTTGTTCTTGTGACATCCATACTGGGACTCTGTCTTTCTGGGAATTCCTTTCCCCTTGCCTATATTGGAACTCCTGTTTCCTGGATCCCATTTAGTCCTCTTCTTTGTTATTCCCTTGTTCTGGTGAAAAGTGTCTTCTAGCAGAGCTTCCTAAGAAAGGGTGTACTATAAACTGTTTTTAACTCACAGCACTTCTTTCACAATATGTGTGGGCTTTGTTCTCACACCAACCAATTCTCCAACTTTCCAGACACCAATTGGTATCCTACAATTTAATTCAAATCTGACACTAACCACATAGAGCTAGTGCAGACCCCACAGGTTAAGGACTCAGTCCCACCAGACTGCCCCTGCTTCAGATGCTAACTGGGCCACTCATACTTCTGACCCATCAGCTAGACGGTCAGGGTGGGGGAGGTGTCCCCAAAACCTCCTCTTCAGGTTTGATAATTTGCTAGAATGGGATTTTTCTGTAGGCATGACTGATTAACTCATTGGTGATCAACTGAATCTCCAGCCCCTCTCCCCTCCCCAGAGGCAGAGAGGTGGTGCTGAAAGTTCCAACCCTCTGATTACATGGTTGGTTCTTCTGGCAACCAGACCCCAACCTGAAGCTATCTAGGGGCCCACACAGAGTTACCTCATTAGTGTAAACTTAGCTGACTTCTCCTCTTACCCCTATCACTCAGAAAATTCCAAGGTTTTTAGAAGCTCTTGTGTCAGGAACTGAGAACAAAGGGCAAATATTACAACAAAAGATGGTCTTATTACCCCTACTACTCAGGAAGTTATAATGATTTCAGGAGCTCTGTGCCAGGAATCAGGGACAAAGACCAAAAACATATTTCTTATTATATCACAATATCAGAGGGCATATGCACAAAATGTCTGAAAATGTCTTTATTATCCTTAAACTTGGGTGATAGTTTAGCTGGCTATAAAATTCTAGGTTGAGAATATTTTTTTTCTATCAGAATTTTTTGGTTTTTTGCCATGCCATGTGGCTTGCGGGATCTTAGTTCCCCAACCAGGAATTGAACCCACACTCTCGGCAGTGAAAGCAAGGAGTCCTAACCACTGGACCGCCAGGGAATTCACCTCTGTCAGAATTTTGAAGGTATTGTTCCATTGTCTTCTAGTTTGTGGCTTTTTTTTTTTTTTTTTGCTGTACGCGGGCCTCTCACTGTTGTGGCCTCTCCCGTGGTGGAGCACAGGCTCCGGACGCACAGGCTCAGCGGCCGTGGCTCACAGGCCCAGCCACTCCACGGCATGTGGGATCTTCCCGGACCGGGGCACGAACCCGTGTTCCCTGCATCGGCAGGCGGACTCTCAACCACTGCACCACCAGGGAAGCCCTAGTTTGTGGCTTTTGAGCAAGCTAATGCCATTTTGAATACTAACATTATATGACTATTCTCTCTAGAGGCTTTTGGGACTTTCTCTTTATCCTCAGAGATCTGCAATTTCACAGGGCTGTAAGTTGGAGTTGGTTTTCTTTCATTCACTGTGCTGTATCAATCTATAGATATGATTTTAGTTCTGAAAACATCTTTTCATACCATTTCTTTGATAATTTCCTCCTCTCTACTGTTTATTTCTTCTCAAATTTCCATTCGTCAGGTGTTAGACCTCTTGGAATGATCCTCTATAATTTATTTTATCTGTTCTCCCCATTTCCATCTCTTTCATTTGGTTTATCTTCTGGGAGTTGTCTTTAACATTACCTTTCAATATTTCTGTGTTGTATTTTTCATACTTGCTATAATATTTTTAATTCCTTTTTTTTGGGGGGTGGCATGACATGTGGCATGTGGGATCCTAGTTCCTCGACCAGGGGTCGAACCCGTGCCCCCAACATTGGGAGCACAGAGTCTCACCACTGGACTGCCGGGGAAGTCATCGTATTTTTAATTTCTAGGAGGTCTTGTCTTCTGGAGGTTCTTTTTTTTTTTTTTAAAGAATCTAGTTCATCTTTTATGCATGCAATATTTTCTCTAATCTCTCTCAAGATATTATAGTTAAAATCTTTCCTTCTTCTTCTCCCTGATTTTACTGTTTCCTGAGGTTTTTTTCACCTCCATTTGATTTGGACTTTTTTTCCCCAAGGAACTGTTTAGAGTTTCAGAACAGTACTTTTTATTTTATTTTATTTTTTGGCCATGCGGCATGTGGGATCCCAGTTCCCCAAACAGGGATGGAACCCGCGCCCTCTGCATTGGAAGTGCAGTCTTAACCACTGGACCGCCAGGGAGGTCCCCTGGACTCTGTCTTTTATGTTCTTTAAATGTCTCATGACACTTGGCTATCTGCTCATACTTTTAGAAGCTGTTTGAAAGCTCTGTGTAGGGGAGCTAAGCTTGCCAACTTATGGGCTTCACATTAGGGTGATCAGGCAAGAAGAATCTGTCATTTTATTGAGGATCCCCAAAAGTAGACAGTATCGCTAAGACTTTTTCTCTGGGATTAAATTTATCAGAGGAGGATCTTTCAGTCTCTTGCATGACAGCACCTGCCTGCAGATACTCTGAAAACTGAGAAAGGGGAATGGTCCTATTAATCACTATATAGAACTTTGTCTTAAAGCCCCTATTTTCAGTTTTGCTCCATATTCCATCTCATCTTCTGTGCTTGGTGTGTCTCTGGTTCAATATCTAAGACTAAAATATCTGTCTCCTGAGAGAGTAGAGGAGGGGTTGTAGGCATCTAAATGCTTTTCACATAGACTTTCGACTAATCTTCCTGTTTCCAATATTTGGTTTCTCCGATTCTGGAGCTATTCCAGGGCTCTGCATTACAAATCCTCTTTGTTAGTTCCCCCCCACCACTCCCTGCCAAAGCAGGCACCTTCAGTTCCTCTGGCCCACTAAGTTAATCACACTTGCTTCCTGGCTTCAACATTCCGTTGACCTCTCATTTGCCGATCTCTCTTTTCCCTCTTACTATCATTTTAATGGGATTACAGGAGGAAAT